AACAAGGAAAACTTCTCCAGGGCTGCATCGGGAGGGAGCAAACAATGCAAGGCTGAAGGAACAAGCCTGCACCGATGGTTTTTCTCCTCCCTGTGTATCAAGGAGAGAAATGGAGCATTGAGGAGCCTCCAGGCTGCTGCTCTGCAGCCAAAGGCAGGGCAAGGTGACCCTGTAGCCCACATTCTGCTCAATCCCTTGCACAGATGATGCTCCTCCAGCTCACTGCAATGCAACACTGGCTGTGGGTCTTGTCCAGGCCAGCAAAAACTCGCCCAGAGATGGAGCAATCTGCTGCTTCTCCGCTCCTCTGAGGGCTGCCAGGGCCAAGATCCACCCCAAACCCCAAAAAAGCAGCAGCAGGGAAGCTCAAGGCTCGGTTCCCAAGCCAAGAGTCCCTGACTCAGCACCACCGTGTTCCCCTGCAGGGAATAATCTCATTTTCCTGCTGAAGAACCCACCCTGACACTGCCCAGCTCACCTCCCATTGCTGATCACCTCCCTGTGCATTTCAGCAGCCCCTTATCAGATGGTTTTCAGCATTGTTTTAAAGCTTTGCTCGCATTTTCTTTGAATATTTAAATGTTCTTGCTGGCCTGGTTTTCCTTCCGTATGCAGAGCATTGATTTATGTTGCTAGATACCATATCTCCCTGCCTTGCCAAAAGCATGCATTTGGGAATGATTTCAGGGCTGCTGGTCATATTTTTCTCCCTCTTTTTATTCTGCACTTTATTTTTATTAACTTTTTTGTTGGAGGCGCCGTAAAAATGAAACTGTGGCTCGAAGGAACAACACTCATCAAACCCCCCAAACCAAAGCAAGCTGGAAGGCAGCTGCCATGCCCACCTGAAAGCTGCAGCATAATTTGAGTTTCCAGTCTTTAAAAGATGAAAATTCACAGTCCCAGGTCCCAAATGCCTTTACTTTTCACTATGGGGAAGCGGGAAACAAACTGTGCTGTCACAAGAGCTCCTCTTTTTTTCCAGGCTCCCAAAAACCCAACAGTGCTCCCCAAAAAAGATGGGACACAAAGCAAAAGGAAGGATTTTACTTCAATCCTTCAAGACCTCAAACACCTTCACCTCTCACTCTGGGGAATGGCAAGCTGGAAGGCAGCTTCCATTCCCACCTGAAAGCTGCAGCATAATTCGAGTTTCCAGTCCTTAAAAGATGAAAATTCACAGTCCCAGATCTCAAACACCTTCACCTTTCACTCTGGAGAACTGGGAAATAAACTGATCCCAAGTTTACAGCTCTGTGCTGTCACAGGAACTCCCCTTTTTTTCCAGGCTCCCAAAAACCCCACAGTGCTCCCCAAAAAAATGGGACACAAATAAAATTAATGATTTTCATTTAATCCTTCAGGATCTCAAACACCTTAACCTCCTACTCTGGGGAGGTAGGAAATAAAGTGACCCCAGATTTGTAGTTCTGTGCTGTCACAGGAGCTCTCGTTTTTTCCAGGCTCCCCAAAACCCCACAGTGATCCCAAAAAGATGGGAAACAAAGCAAAATGAAGGATTTTCATTCAAACCCTCAGGATCTCAAACACCTTCACCTTTCAACTATGGGGAAGCAGGAAACAAACTGACCCCAGGTTTGCAGCTCCGTGCTGTCAGAGGAGCTCCCCTTTTTCCCACACTCCCAAAAACCTCATAGCTCTCCCCAAAAAGATGGAACACAAAGCAAAATGAAGGATCTTCATTCAATTATTCAGGCTCTCAAAGACTTTCACTTTTCACTCAGGGGAGATGGAAAGAAACTGAACCCAGGTTTGCAGCTCCGTGCTGTCACAGGAGCTCCCCTTTTTTCCACTCTCCCAAAAACCTCATAGTTCTCCCCAAAAAGATGGGACACAAAGCAAAAAGAAGGATTTTCACCTTCAGCATGCTGCTAACTCACTCTCCATGCCCATCCCTGCCTGCTGGCTGGAGTGGAGGATGTGCCCATCCAGGTGAAATGCAGGGCTGGGAGCGCTCCACATCAATCAGGGATCCCAGGGACATAAAACACCCAGCCAGCCTGGCCAGTGCTCCCAAAAGAGATGGGACACGAAATTCAATCCTTCAGGATCTCAAACACCTTCACTTTTTACTCTGGGGAGATGGGAAACAAAATGACCCCAGGTGTGCAGCTCTGTGCTGTCACAGGAACTCCCCTTTTTTCCACACTCCCCAAAACCTCACAGTCCTTAAAAGATGAAAATTCACAGTCCCAGGTCTCAAACACCTTCCCCAAAAAGATGGGACACAAAGCAAAAAGAAGGATTTTCACCTTCAGCATGCTGCTAATCCACTCTCCATGCCCATCCCTGCCTGCTGGCTGGAGGGGAGGATGTGCCCATCCAGGTGAAATGCAGGGCTGGGAGCGCTCCACATGAATCAGGGATCCCAGGGACATAAAACACCCAGCCAGCCTTGCCAGGCTCCTGCCAGCTCACACCTTCCCTGCCCATATTTCCTGAGCTGCCACCACCAGCATAGGGGAGAGGTAATTTTACTTCAGGAGTGTCACCTGTGAAAGTTGCAAATGGGGACAGGGATGGATTGGCTGCTTATCTGCAACACATGGTTAATGAAGGCACTGCTGGCTGCAGGGGAAGCAGGTTCCTTTCTACAACACAGAGCCAAGTGTCAGCTCTGGGAGTGAGCTCCATTAGGAGGTTTCTGGGTGCATTTATGGTCCCTTATCCACACAGGCAGCCACGGGAAATGATGGTGCCTCTCCCTGAGAGCTCCTTAGGGACCTGCACTCATGGGGCTCCCCTGTAAATTTGGTATTTTGGGGTTTGCACAGCTCTTGTGGCACCCTTGAGCTGGGACAGGCTGGGCTCTGCCCCCCCTTACTCATCAATGGGGGCAAATGTATTTGTGACAGAAATATTTCATTTTATGTGGGTTTAGGAGCAGGGTAGGACATGGCAGGGGTGATTTTAGCTCCTCAGTGGCTCTTCGAGGGGTGGCTTGGAATTCACATAGGAAGGGCAACACCAACATCATGAGAACCAACACAAATACAGAAATTCGCCATAAACTGCATTTCATTGACAACAGGAAGAGACAACACCTCTAAAATGAAGGGAGGAGCTTCAGCAAGTGTGTCAGCTCACCACAAACTAATTTCATTGACAAGAGGAAGAGACAACATGCCCAAAATGCATGGAGGGATTTCAGCAACACTCTCAGCTCACCATAAACTAATTTAATTTACAAAAGGAAAGTGAGAACATTTCCAAAATGCATGGAGGGATTTCAGCAAGTGTGTCAGCTCACCATAAACTAATTTCATTTACAAACTAGAAACAGAACATTCCCAAAATGCAGGGAGGAGCTCAGCGTGCCCACTCACCATAAACTCCATTTCATTGATAAAAGGAAGGAGAGAACATTCCCAAAATACAGGGAAGAGCTCAGCAACAGTGTCAGCTCACCATAAACTAATTTCATTTACAAAAGGGAGAGACAACATGCCCAAAATGCATGGAGGGATTTCAACAACACTGTCAGCTCACCATAAACTAATTTCATTTACAAAAGGAAAGCGAGAACATTTCCAAAATGCAAAGAAGAGCTTCAGCAACTGTGTCAGCTCACCATAAACTAATTTCATTGACAAGAGGAAGGAGAGAACATGCCCAAATGCAGGGAGGAGCTCAATGTGTAAACTCACCATAAATTGCATTTCATTTAGAAAAGGAGGGAGACAACATTTCCAAAATGCATGGAGGAACTTCAGCAACTGTGTCAACACACCATAAACTAATTTCATTGACAGGAGGAAGAAACAACATGCCCAAAATTCATGGAGGAGCTTCAGCAAGTGTATCGATTCACCACAAACTGCATTTCATGTACAAACTGAAGAACAATCCCAAAATTCAGGGAGGAGCTCAGCATCTCCACCCACCATAATCTCAATTTCATTGACAAAAGGAAGGAGAACATTCCCAAAACACAAGGAGGAGCTCAATGTGTAAACTCACCATAAATTGCATTTCATTTACAACATTCCCAAAATACATGGAGAAACTTCAGCAAGTGTGGCAGCTCACCACAAACTAATTTCATGTACAAACGGGAGACAGAACATTCCCAAAATTCTGGGAGGAGCTCAGTGTCTCCACTGACCATGCAGGAGAACCTTTCACTCAGTGTCAGCCCCACCAGGCAGGGAGGATTCCAGGAATCCTTCCAGAGCATCACCGGGAAAACATTTTCATTCTATTGAGTCATTTCCCCACTATTTTTTAAGCTGTAAAATCTCAGAGTTCTCTGTGTCTTTTTCCGTCTGATCTTCTCATCAGAGGAAGTACAATTGTAAGGGTTGGTGGTGAGACAGTAAATATGAATTAAAGAACACCAAAGTCATCTTCTAGTGGTCAAGTTCTGCTAATACACCAAGTTTTAGAGGTACAAGTGCTGTTTCTGTGAACTTGGTGATACTGCCACAGCCTCCAGCCTCTGACTGCTAAAATCTACCAAACCCTTTGTAGATTTTTTTATTATTAATATCAATATTTCACAGTAAATTGTACATCTATTTTTGTTCTTGTTTGTGTGAATACAGGTGTAGGTATAAGTATAAAAATATTTGTGTTGCCAACCTTAGTACAATCAAATATTCTTCTTTTAAAAAGGTAATTTAATATTTGATCCTTGCAAACTCCCAATAACAAATACAGTTTGTTTGTGTGAACATAGGTGTAGGTATAAAAATATTTATGTGTTGCCAACCTTACTACAGTCAAATATTCTTCTTTTAAGAAAGTCTTTTAATATTTGACTCTTGCAAACTCCTAATTACAAATACAGTGAATTGTGCATCTAGTTTTGTTCTTGTTTCTGTGAACATAAGTGTAGGTATAAGTATAAAAATATTGATGCTTTGCCGACCTTACTGCAGTCAAATATTCTGATTTTGAGAAGACAGTTAAAGATTTGACTCTTGCAAAACTCCCAATAACAATAAGAATAACGAACCCGAAGCCAGGGGAGCACTCACCAATCCTCAGGGAATGGGGGCTGGCCCAGATCCTCATCAGCCACAGCAGAAGGAGCACCAGAGGCGCCAAGACACGGAGCATCTTCCATAAATCCTCATGGAGCCCTGCGGTGGTCTGGGCATGACATAACTCTGCAGGGAGACACAAAAAGCACCCTGAGCACCTCTGCTCCCCCCCAGCAGCACCACTCAGCTCGACAAAAGCTCTATTTACCCGAGGAGGAGGGAGATATTTACAGACTATGAATTATTCAGGGTGTGGAATCCAACTGGGCAGAGAGCTCCTTGCAAGAAAAAAAAAAAGAAAAAAATAATAAATTTAAAAAAAAAAGGAAAGGAGCATGAGGAAAAGTCCAAATATTTCATCTTGGCATTCTCAGCATTTCAACAAAAACAAGTGGAAATCAATATTGAGTCACATCTCTGACTTCTAGTCTCACCCACCCCCCGCTTTTCTCTTTCCACTCAGAGCAGCCAGCAGCTCATTATATAACACTGATTCCTGATTTTAGGGTGGGACAAAGCATTTTCACAGCAAAACGTGATTTGAGGGAAGGGTTGAGGAGGCAGAAGTCACTTGGGCCTCACCAAACCAGAAACCAATTCCTTGCCACAATTCCAGTCACCTCCTTCCCTCCCTTTCAGGAACAGGAGGGTTCAGCACAAGACCAAGAGCATCGCATTTTTTTGTCCTCTATTTTTGTCTCACCACCCAACCACACAGAGATTCAAGTTTCTAAGTCAGAACAGCACCAAAATGAAGGGCAGGAGGTGGAAAATCCACAAACTCATGACCAGCACAGATATTGGCACTGGCTGTCCCACAGCAGGCTCCTGCAGCACAGCTAATCAAATTTGCAACAAATGCCATTTTAAACAGCTTCATAAAGGGCAGATTTTACCTCATAGAAAAAAAAAAAAAACCAAAAAAAAAAAAAAACAACCTGTTGCCTCTGGAGTTGATAAAATTATCTCCACAGGCAGCAATGTCCTTAAATGCTGACTTTGAGTGTTTCATCTGTTACCTTATCGCTCTCTTCTGCTGGCAAACATTCTCACCCTCTTCCATTTGTCTCCTTCTTGGGCCAAATACCAAGTCCTGACACAGGCAAAGTCTTTAATCTGCCTTTGAAGTCACCAGGAGTTTTGTCTGAGCAAGACGCTGCCTTTTGCTTGCAATTTTCCAATTAATCTATTTTTAGATTACATTTAAGGCTTCCTCCAGCTTATCTCAGCACTCTCCACAGGGACCATCCCCTTTTCACAGAGGGGAAATGCAGGGACAGAGCCACAGAAATAAAAATCCAGGGGCATCTCCAGGGATTTGATCCTTTCCTGGATGATGCTTCCACACCTCCTGCATCCCAATTCCAGAAAATTGAGGGATCTCATGCTCAGCTGTCAGTCAGACATGGGAAGAACATCCCAATTTCAGTGCTTTCAACTCATTTTTAAAAGCTAGAAACACCCCAAAAAAACCACCTGGAAAATGAACCACCTCTGTGAAGGGCAAATAGCAATTTTCTCCATTTTTTCCCCTTCTTTTCAGTGGGAGTTGCAGAGTAATTCCTGGGGAAGAGAAGCCCTAAAAGGTTAAACACGTGGGAAATTGGCTACTCAGAAGTGCTGGCAGCGGCAGGGACAGATTGCAGAGCAATGTATCACTGGAGCACTTTGAAGCAGCTATTTCCAAACTTCCCAAGATTATTGACAAAACAGCAGCATCGTGTCAGATGCACTCCCAGCCTGGTGGAACAGACATCCCTCCCCCATGGAGACAGCAGGACAGCTTGAGTTTGCCACCCAAAGAGCTCCCTCGTGCTCAGTTCTGCCTCTAAAGCTTCTCCCCAACACTCACAATCCTGCTTTCCTAATTTTTTAGGTTATTTTAGGTCCTACTTCTTGTACTGCTACACCCAGTGTGCTTTCCTTGTGTGGTGGTTTTGGTTTTCCAGTTTGAGATTTCAAGAAAACCAAATTTGAGATTTTGGGAACACCAAATTTAAGATTTTGGGGAAACCAAATCTGAGATTTTTGAGAAAACCAAATCACCAACCCCTGGTGATGAACAGCCACAGCTCAACTAAAACATCTGGTAGGGAATGTCAGACCAGGAGCAGGGCAGGGAAAAGGGGGTAAAACCCCATAAATTCCAGCCAGGCAGGAGGGAAATTCCTGCCTGAAATCTGAGGAGGTTGCTGGAGTTTGCATCCTCACCATTCCCTGCCAAAGCTCTGTGGAATCACTTCAGGGAAGGACATGGAGGGGCTGGAGAAAGGGCATGGAGGGACCAGGGAAAGAAAAGGAGCTGGGAAGGGTCTGGAACACCCAGAGGGGCTGAAGGAGCTGGAAAGGGGCTCAGGCCTGGAGAAAAGGAGGCTCAGGGGGGACCTTGTGGCTCTGCACAACTCCTGACAGAAGGGGAAGATTTGGGATTTTATCCCAAGGACAGGAGGAGAGGGAACAGCCTCAGGCTGGGCCAGGGTGGACACCAGCAGGAATTTCCCCATGGGAAGGGTTGTTAATATTGGCAGGGGCTGCCCAGAAAGGTTTGGAGTGCCCAAGGAACCACTGCAGGTGGCACTCAGAGCTCTGGGATGGGGACAAGGTGGGGATGAGGCACAGCTTGGACTCCATGGTCTGGGAGGGTTTTCCCAACCCCAATAACTGTTGCCTTATATATTGCAACAGCTCTATTATCATTATGGTGCAAGGATTCCCTAGCCTCAGAGTTTCATACCTCCTCGAAGTTTTCTCGCAGCCAGCTCCTCTAAGCACTGACTGTTCCTGATCCTTGCAGCAGCCATCTGACTCCTCTGACTCCTCTCTTTTGTACCACCAGTTTTTATTGGCTACAGGCGTGGCCTGTTAACATCAGGCCTGCTCCTCATCTTTAGTAATTGGGCCCAGCTGCAACTCATTGGAGGATAAGATTACATTCCACATCACCCATACTGTGTCCCCCTACAAATAACCCTGTGAAGCACCAGGTTAGAAAAAGGGGTTCTCATTTCAGACTCTGCAGAGACAAAATGCACCAGGAGCAACCACTCTTGTGGGAAAAGGGAAAAGCTCCTGTGAAAAAAATAGGTTCTCATTTCAGACTCTGCAGAGACAAAATAAAAAGGAGCGACCACTCTTGTGGGGAAAAGGAAAAGCTCCTGTGCCTCCCTGCTCCAAGGGACAGACCCAAGGCTGCTCCTCCTGTTTGCAGCCTGCTGGAGGGGCTGAGGAGGAGATTCCCAGGCATCAGCAGCTCGGAGTTATCAGCCAGGCTGAGCAGTAAATCCAGAGCACCTGCTGAGCTCTACTCTGGGAGTGCAGGGCTGTAATTACCTGGGACATGGAGCACAGGGGGAGGCTGCTCCACCTCACCCCTCAGGAGGGCTTGGGGTTTGGAGCCAGCTGTCAGCAATAGAAAAGCACCTTGGGGGTTGCTAAACAGCAGAAAACACAGGATCCTACAAGCTGTGCCCAGCTGGGGGCTGGAGGTGATGGCAAAATACCTGGGAGGGAGCACAGGGATGCATCCCCACATGCACAATGCTGGGATCCCAGATTTGGGATCAGGAGGGAAGGAGAGAGAGGATTTTCCTCCTAGCCCAGTGTCGCAGACATCTTTTCATGAAAAATCCTTTCCTTAGGATTTTTCCTCCTGAGAAGCTGGGAGGCCTCAGGAACAAAATGCAAACAATGGTTATCTGCTGCTGTGGAATGCAACAGGTGCATCTGGGATTGGTCTCATGTGGTTGTTTCTAATTAATGGCCAATCACAGACAGCTGGCTCAGACAGAGAGCCGAGCCACAAACCTTTGTTATCATTCTTTCCTTTCTATTCTTAGCCAGCCTTCTGATGAAATCCTTTCTTCTGTTCTTTTAGTATAGTTTTAATGTAATATATAATCATAAAATAATAAATCAAGCCTTCTGAAACATGGAGTCCTTGTCTCTTCCCTCATCCTCAGACCCCTGTCTTGTGAACACGGTCACAAAACAGCATCAAAGTTACTCTCAAATGAACAAAGAGGTGTTTCAGTCCCTCTGCACCCCCCAGTCCCCACCTGCTGCCCCCCCCCCCTAAATCCAGGCATTAAAGGGTGGTGAGCACAGTCCAAACACCCTCACTGTACATTGATTTTGCCTTGCTGAGCTTGTCATCCTGCCAGGCTGCCTTGCAGCTGCAAGGTGCATCTGCCTGCCCCTCATTTCCCCAGGAGATGCTGTGGAACAGGAGTTCCACCAGGTGGAATTCCACAACTCCACCAGTGAATTGTGGCCACAGCTGGGGCATCCACTCCAGCGCAGCCCCAAATCCCACTCAGAGAGGGGAGGAGCACAACTTCCCCTCATTAAAACCTCACAAAGCCAAGAAAACTCCGGAGAGACAAAGCTCTTTAGCAGCTTGCCTCACTAATTCCCCTGTGTGTGAAGATGACTTATCCCAGACTCATCCTCAGCTGGCTGAAAATAAATCCAACCAACTTCCCCCTGCTGAAGTTTCCAGCGAGAACATGTCAGGAGCTGTGCATTCACAGCTCGAGTGGCTCCTCTCTGCTGCTCTGACAGCAGGCTGGGATGATGGACAGCTGTCTGTGCAGCATTCCCAATCTGCTCCCAAAAAAATAAAAGAGTGGGATGGATGGGAAAGAGTTCCCTGGGTCCTTCAGGGTGGGAGGTGCTGAGAAGCTGCTGCTGGATCACGAGCTGACCCCTGCGTGCAGCACAAATACAGAATTATTTTCCTGCTAAGCCCCCTTTTTTTTTATTATTTTTTTTCATCTTCCAGCTCTGGAAAAGTCAAGAGAATAAAATAAATCAGGGCTATACTGGGGAGTTTTGTGTTCTCTCTGGAGATAAAAAGTCTCTAAATACCAAGCAGAATTATGGACGATTTGCCTCTGAGAGGGAGCAAGTTGCTTCTGAAACTGCTGATACATTTTTAATGACTGTGTGAGCTGGTGCTCTTCTTCACTGCTATCACCACAGCCTCCTGCTATTTGGAGATTTCTGCAGAAAAAAAATTCTTAGACAGTAGAGCAAAAAAAAGCCAAAAGGCAGAACAAAATGTTAAACTGTTAAAAGAAAACCCCCACCAAAAAACCCCTCTGCTGGAGCTGCCACAGAGATAAAGA